CCATGCACTTTCCTACGAAATAAAAGTCTATAAAAAATTATGCTCACCCCATTTCTGCTTACCCGATCAGCTCATCCACTTCTGCAAGTTTCCTATCCATTTCTGGGTGGGCTGGACCGTAACGATGACCACAGTGGTCGACGCCTAACATATGGCCGATAAGGATACTCCAGTTGTTGGCGTGCTCGACGATGTCATTGGATAGTTTTGCATGAAAGAAATTGCGTACGCCCTTATCAACGGTGTCCAAATCATTCACATCAAAAGAGGGATAAGGAAGAGCTTCAGAAAACCTGATTCGAAAAATAAATGAATATATAACAATATGCAAGGTATACTGGAGTCAGGATGATAAAAAATGGTTTGGTTTAATCGAATGCATTAAAACCAAGATGGTATTGCCTTTTGTGTTGTCGCAGTCTCCTTTCGTTGTATAGAAGTTGTTTTACCTTGTTTTCGCAACTCGGTCATAGTGGTAGGAAGACTTAGAGCAACGCACCTAGTCCAGAGTCCATTGTATGCATCATTATTTCCAGAATAGGACCGTGGACGTGGTACATTCACAGACGTTTCGCCGGCATCGTCAGTGAGCCTTGTCATTCGTAGCACCATATTACAACTCGTAAAAGAGACAAGTGAAGCCCATCCTAACTAAGATACATCCTAATTTGAACAAGACTAAGTATGCTATTTTCTAGAAGTGATACTTCCTTATTCCTCATTATCCAAACTAATCCTCAGAAAATAACGGCTAAGAGCCAACTAATAAGGCAAAATAAAATAAATAAATGCACTTGGGTAGAAATTAAAATAACTACAGCTAAACGAGAAAACAAGAAATAGCAATTTTAATTATCCGAGCGACATTTGAACTCAATTGATTCTGCGGATAAAATTTTCCACAATGTCGTGATGGCGAAATGATGCGCAGATTACTTAATGGTTTAAGAAGTCCTCGAATCGATGTGTAAGATAGGGCATCATGACAAGTAGCGTGATCGAAATCGGTTAAAAGTAGGCAATGCACGTTGTGTGATCGAAAACAGCGCAAAACTCAACTAATTCTATAAAAAATAGTAGATAAATCAGTCACTTTCGTCTATCTCATCAATTCAACCTTGATGAACTTACTGATCTTCCCCTTCAAAGCAGCTATATTTTCTGTAGTATTCCCAAAATTGTTTCCAGCCATCATTAAGAATTCAGGTGCCTAGACCTGATTCTTCATATAATCTAGACTGAGCGTTTGTAAGGTAACTTATAAGGCGTGGCAATGATTATACAAATGAAATTGCACGCATCATTTTGGCATTAAAATGTATACATTAGAGTAAGGATAGAAATTAACATTTATAGAAAAAGGAGTAAGATGGAACTCTCATACTAGCTTGGAAAATGCTATACTAGCGTAAACCTCCAATCCAAAGGGTGAAAGATTCGTAAACGGCCATATTAAATATAAAATATTGGAAGATATGAAGACTAAGAGGGTTTGATTGCAGTTTTCCTTAACTGTTGATCTCAGTTTGGCAAAATATTCGTGCTTTCAAGGAGACTTCGAAGAACTTGCCCGGTACTGCATCCTCTGCCAGTGTTGTTCTGTGTTTATCCAATATCGGAAAGCTTCAGGGAGCAGCGACATCCTAAACTCCAGGTGAGTAATCAATCCTCCTGACTAGAAGTTTTTTCACCTTCTTTTCGTAACTTGGTCATATTGGTAGGAAGACTTAGAGTAACGCACCTAGTCCGGAGTCCATTATATGCATGATACTTTCCAGTCGGACTGTGGACGTGATACACTCCTCCTGACTGATTTTCTGTCGAATGGCTTCGGAAGTTCTCTATTGTCATGTCGATTACGCAATAAGGGATATGGTTTTCGAAGTACCCTCCTGAAAACACGAGAGAAAAGCGAGGTCGCAGCAACTCATAAAGGTTGAGCTTCCAGCCTAATGAGTTTAAAAACTAAAATAGAGGCCATCACCCAGACGAGGAGGCAAATAAAGACAATTTATTCTATAACACAATTATTGAAGAGGGAGCTTGATGGACATAGATCAAACTCTGATCATAACAATATTAGTAAGACTTGCACTCGTTATACCCTAGTCAAAAAAGCTAAAGTTTGATTCCTTCTCAGAATCAAATATGGCTATAATCAAATCTAGATCCTCATTTAAATCCGGATTGTGACCATATGCTTTTCGCCTAGCTAACATAAAAAGTAATAATAAGAAATAAAGAAAAATCCTCAAATCCAGTGTCCTACCTCCCCTGGAATAGCTGCATCCAAGTGTCGTCTCCTACGAATGCGATCAGCTTTCCTGCGGCTTGCCACTGCCAAACCAGGTTGTCCTCACTCAAGAGTGAGCCTCCAAAGTTGGATCCGGCATCGATGAACGTCGGCATGCTTCCCGTGAGAATGCCCTTAAGACGCTGCAACGTTGTGGTTGGAGGGTCGGCGACAAAATGAGCCAAATAGCCGGCCGCCAGTCGACCAACTTTCTCCTGATGAAGGCGCTGCAAATGGGCCATTCGGTAGACTGGCTGGCTGCTGGCTGTAGGTGTTTGTGAAGACAGCGAACCTGCCAACCGATACATCAGGTCGTGAGACAAAGCGTCCACGATTAATATTATGATTCGGTCGAAGTGCGGAGGACCGACAGAGGCCAGAAAATAGTCTCTGGAATCGGAAGTCAGCCCAGCAACTGTGGTAGACGCAGTGGTGTTGGAGAGTTCAGAACGCATCAATAGGAAGCCGGAAAGGAAGGAAACGATACCAAAGAAAATAGCGAACAGACCGACAAGATGTGTGAACAGGACCAGTCGGTTCGAGGACTTTGGAAAGAACTCTGAGATGCCAGCGCTGAGCTCGTGCGGAGCCTTTAGAAAGAGTGGATGTGCATATGTGGATGCATGTAAATAAGCAGAGTAACCCAAATTAATAGTGATACAGACACCATAGTTAGATCGTTTAAACTGAAAATTCCTTTTAGAAACAGACACAACTTTTAGATACATAGAGTCCTAAAATAATAGAAGAAAAGAAAATTAGGATGCCATACCCTTTGTTTAATTCGCACAAATTTCGGAAGGCCGTTCAAAATCAGTGATTCCAGCTTCTAATTGTTATGGCAAAGTTGGAGGAAGAAACAGTGCAATCATGTAGGAAGCAAGCAAAATAGCAAGCAAAATAGCAAGCATATAGACACCCAAGTGTAGAAATGAGAGGATGCATCTTAATAAAGTGGGGCTGCCAAGAGAGACAAGACAAAGGTTTGCATATCAAAAACACATGAGCTACGTACGAAGACCAAAATGTTGTGACCTCTATTTTGGTCGCAATCTCTTTTCGATGTAGAGTAGTTGTTTGACCTTGTTTACACAATTTGGTCATATTAACAGGAAGACCTAGAGGAACACACCTTGTCCGGAGTCCATAGTATGCATGATAATCTCCAGATTCAGACCGTGGACGTTTCGCCGGCATCGTAATCGACCTCTTCAGTGAGTCTTGCCATTCTCAGCACCAAACTACAGCTCGTCAAAGACAAGTTAAGTCAATTTATTCGTGAGTAGGTTGTCGAGACAACTCATATAAGTGAAGTCAATCTCTTGGCCAACTTTCTGCCGAAATGGTTATGCTATCCTTTCTCTCCCTGCCCTGGTCTCTCTATCCATTCCCTATCCTCTTGTCTTGCCCTCGTCCTATCACAACTTCTGACTTATTTATATCACACTTCTAAAGTGTGTGCCCTTGTGGCGAATTTACTGCCCTCTCCCTTTCGAATGACTGATCCAACTCGTGCCTCATGTCCCGACTACCTCATGGGCCCGTAGACCTGTTTATTGTCTTTCTGGTTGACCGAGTTCACACAATTTCAGTCTTAGTGTATTTTTTACTCCAGACGATATTTCTCAAGCCTTCAGTAGCACGTACATTTTCGCCTCACCTGCAGACAACCTAGGCCCTGATTCCCATGCTTGCGGATATTATGTTTTAACCTCACGCATAATCTCCTCGATTAAAACCGTTTACCCCGAGCAAACTGTGCACTTCTATCTCTAGTCGCCTGCTCCCTTCCGAATGGATTTCTAGTCAATTTGGCTTTAAGGCCGAATTTCTGTGACGGTTGTGATTATCTGTCGCCCTAGTCACATGACCGCCAGGCCCCCAAAGTTGTAGTTGTTTCTCCGACCGGACTAAACTCATTGGGAGCGTCTTTGCTTTATTTATTAAGCTTACCCTCTTCCTCCTTGCGAGCCCTTTTCCTCTGGCTTGGAATGTTATTTTTCCGCCATAGTTACCTGAATATTCCTTTTTTTTTAATATTGGCCGTAGTTTGTGAGATAGTTCGCCTGAAGGTAGACATATCCACTTTTGTGAGTATTTCTCTATCTTTACTTTACTTTTCATAATCCCTGTCCTGCCATCGGCTCTTGACGACCATCATGTTTATTTGTATTACCTCTCCCGGGTATCCGTTGCCAAGGCATATGCGAGTCCATTTTTCCTATTCCTCATTTCAGAAATCCACGTCGGTTAATCGTGGGCTTCTGCTAATCATAGTGTTGGTTCGACCTTGCTTTCGCAACTTGGTAGCAGCGTCAGGGACACATTGTGGAACGTACATGGTCCTGTCTCCCCTGCTATGATATTCGTGATTTCCAGCTTCGGACCATTGACTTGGTACATTCCCATTTGGAATAGTATGCCAAAGGACACAGGACTAGGCGCATTACACAAGGTCTCCCTGGCGCTGCGGCCAAGTTGCGAAAATAAGGTCGACCCAGCACTATAAGGTCAAAGGAGACTGCGACCAAGCAGGCCACACCATCTTGGTCTTTATACCTACGTTCTGATAATCCTGCTCCTCTGTATTCCTAACTTCATTCCCTAGTTGTGGTGAGACTCTAAATTGAGTACTATTCCGGTATATGATTTATTTCTGAACAATTTTCTCTTGAGTGTCCAATTAGAGCGAATGACCTCCACAGCTGGGAAAGCTAAACGCCTCACTTCTTCCACATCCATTGTAAACCTGACTCTT